TTGGACTGTAATAATAATAATAATAATAGATTGTAATAGCAATAATAATAATAATAGTATTGTTGGACTGTAATAGGAATGATATAATAATAATAGACTGTAATAGTAATAATAATATTGTTGGACTGTAATAATAATAATAATAGATTGTAATAGCAATAATAATAATAGTATTGTTGGACTGTAATAGTAATGATTTCATAATAATAGACTGTAATAATGATATTATTAATAATAATAGACTGTAATAGTAATAATAATATTGTTGGACTGTAATAATAATAATAATAGATTGTAATAGCAATAATAATAATAGTATTGCTGGCCTGTAATAGTAATAATAATATTGTTGGACTGTAATAATAATAATAATAATAATAATAATAATAATAATAATAATAATAATAATGGATCTGGACCAAACTTGGTACGAATACTCAATACGCCCAAATGTGAACACTGGTGGCATTTGGGGAAAATAGACCTTGACATTTGGGAGTTGTAGTTGCTGAGATTTATAGTTCACTTCCAATCAAAGAGGATTCTGAACTCCACCAACGATGGAATTGGGTCACCCTTCGCACAGAACTCCCATGACCAACAGAAAATACTGGAAGGGTTTGGTGGGCATTGACCTTGAGTTTGGGAGTTGTAGTTCACCTACATCCAGAGACTCAAACAATGATGGATCTGGACCAAACTTGGCACAGATACTCAATATGCCCAAATGTGAACACTGGTGGAGTTTGGGGAAAACAGACCTTGACATTTGGGAGTTGTAGTTGCTGGGATTTATAGTTCACCTACAATCAAAGAGCATTCTGAACTCCACCAATGATAGAATTGAATCAAACTTGGCACACAGAACTCCCATGACCAACAGAAAATACTGGAAGGGTTTGGTGGGCATTAACCTTGAGTTTTGGAGGTGTAGTTCACCAACATCCAAAGACTCAAACAATGATGGATCTGGACCACAACTTGGCAGGAATACTCAATATGCCCAAATGTGAACACAACTGGAGTTTGGGGAAAATAGAGTTGTAGTTCACCTACATCCAGAGATCATTGTGGACTCAAACAATGATGGATCTGGACCAAACTGTACATGAATACACAATACGCCCAAATGTGAACACTGGTGGCATTTGGGGAAAATAGACCTTGACATTTGGGAGTTGTAGTTGCTGGGATGTATAGTTCACCTACAATCAAAGAGCATTCTGAACCCACCAATGATGAAATTGAACCAAACTTGGCACACAGTTCTCCTATGTGGCCCATTGAATACTGGTGGGTTGGGGGGGGGGGCTGTTTTTTTGAATTCTGGGAGTTGTAGTTCCTCAAAAAGGAAGAGAAGGACAGGTGGAGAGATCTTCAGCCTTCTCTGCCAAAAGGGTTCCTAAGACAATCAGAAATATGTGTTTTCTGATGGTATTTGGTGACCCCTCTGAAACCCCCTTCCCAACCCCCAGGTAGAGAAACTTTATGAAGAGCATTCCAAAGCTGAGGAGCCACCACTGAGAAGGCCCTTTCTCTCGCCCCTACCAACCACACTTGTGAGGGTGGAGGGACTGTAAGAAGGGCCCTTTCAGAGGACCTTAAAGCCCGAGTTGGTTCACAGGGGGAGATGTGGTCACACAAATAGGCTGGACCAGAACCGTAAAGGGCTTTATAGGTGACCACCCGCACTTTGAATTGGGCCCAGAAACACACAGACAGACAGCGGACCTGCTTTAACAAGGGAGTGGTTATTTGTTTACTTATTTTGTATCAAAAGCAGTGCATAAATTAGTATAAAAACTGATAAAAAGAGAAGGAGCATAAGCGGCTAAATATCCCTTGACCAAAAAACGGGCAATAGCAACCGCATTGTCTGTAGCCTCCAACCATTCTTCCTCTGTGCATGAGGCAGGACACTGCAGACAAGCATACAGATGCGGAGTTGCTTGTTCTGCTCCACAATTGCACAAGGTGGAGGATTCTTTTGTGTTGTGTGCTCCCTGTAGTCATCTCCCATTAGATATTCGCACTAATTGCCGTATCCGAACAGTCCTCAAAGGCAGCCCCACATAGAATGCATTGCAGTAGTCCAGCCTTGATGTAACTAAGGCATAGACCATCATGACCAGGCTTTTCGAGCTATGGTTGCAACTGGCGCACAAACTTTAATTGTGCAAAGACCCTCACCTGAGACTCAGGCATCAGCGCTGAATCTAACCTCTGAGCATGCCTGCCATAGATGTAGGTGAAACGTCAGGAGAGAATGCTTCTGGAACATGACCAGACAGCCCGGAAAACTCACAGCAACCCAGTGATTCCTGCCATGAAAGCCTTCGACAACACATTGATCAGACTGCTTCTACCTCAAGATCAACACCCAAACAACAGGGGAATTCCTAACATGGATCAATCAGGGCCAGCTAACACTTCCCAACAAAGGATTCCCCCAGGGAAGAAGCAGTCAGGCTTTGAAGATGTAAGGCCGTTCAATGCTAATCAAATGGTAAACCTCATTTTCCTAGTTTCCAACAGACCTCACAACTTCTGAGGATGCCTGCCACAGATGTGGGTGAAACGTCAGGAGAGAATGCTTCCTTAACATGACCAGACAGCTCGGAAAACTCACAGCAACCCAGTGATTCCGGCCATGAAAGCCTTTGACAACACCTTGATCAGACTGCTTCTACCTCAAGATCAACACCCAAACAACAGGGAAATTCCTAACATGGAACAATCAGGGCCAGCTAACACTTCCCAACAAAGGATTCCCCAGGCTGGAAGCAGCCAGGCTTTGAAGCTGTAAGGCCATTTAATGCTAATCAAGGTGGCCAATGGCAACATTCACACTTGCCTCCAACAGACAAGAGTTAACCCTATTAACGAATAACAACAGATAATAATATGAACGCCAATACTAATAACCATGCTGAAATAACATTAATTTGATTCATATTGATTATTAATCAATTAGTAATTGTTACAGTAACCCTAATACGAATAATAACAAATAATAATGTGAACACCAATACCAATAACCATGTTAAAATAGCATTAATTTTATTCGTATTGATTAATTATTATATTAACCCTAGTATGAATAATAGCTAATAATAATATGAACACCAATACAGTATCAATAACTATGCTAAAATGACATTAATTTGATTCATATTGATTATTTATTAATTATTATTATATTAACCATAATACGAATAATAACACATAATAATATGAACACCAATACTAATAACCATGTTAAAATAACATTAATTTTATTTATATTATTAATCAATTATTAATTATTATATGAATGTTAATACGAATAATGATAAAAATAATAATTTATTTGTATTATTAACTAATTATTAATTATTACATTAATCCTAATATGGATAATAACAAATAATATTATTAACACCAATACCAATAACTATGCTAAAATAACATTAATTTTATTTATATTGATTATTTTAATTATTATTATTATTATTATATTAATGCTAATACTTCATATCGATTAATTAATTAACTATTATTACATTAACCCTAACACGAATAATAAGAACACCAATACCAATAGCAAGGCCAAAATAACATTAATTGTATTTATATTGATTATTAATTTTTATTATTATATTAAACCTAATACAAATAATAACATGAACACCAATACCAATGCCAAAATAACATTAATTTCACTTACATTTACTATTAATTAATTAATTAATTATATTAACCCTAATACAAATAATAAAAAATAATAATATGAACACCAATACCAATAACCGGGCTAAAATAACATTAATTGTATTTATATTGATTATTAATCGATTATGAATTATTATATTAACCTGAATACGAATAATAACACATAATAATATGAACACCAATACCAATGCCAAAATAACATTAATTTCATTTATATTTATTATTAATTAATTAATTATTTTATTAGCTTTAAGACAAATAATAACATTGATTTTATTTGTACTGATTATTAATTATTAATTATTATATTGATTATTAATGTTATATTATGGTATTAACCCTTAATACAAATAATAACTAATAATATTATGAACACCATTATCAATAACATTGATTTTATTTGTACTGATTAATTAATTAATTATTAATTATTATATTGATTATTAATGTTATATTATGGTATTAACCCTTAATACAAATAATAACTAATAATATTGTGAACACCAATATCAATAACAATGGTCAAAATAACATCGATTTTATACATATTAATTATTAATTAATGATTATATTGATTATTAATGTTATATTATTATATTAACCTTAATACAAATAATAACAAATAGTAATATGAACAGTAATACCAATAACAATGGTCAAAATAACATCGATTTTATACGTATTGATTATTAATTAATTATTATATTGATTATTGTTTTATTATATTCACCCTAATATATATATGAATAGTAACAAATAATAATATGAACACAAATACCAATAACAATGCTAAAATAATATTGATTTTTACGTATTGATTAATTAATTAGTTATTATATTGATTATTAATGTTTTATTATGATATTCACCCTAATATATATAATAATAACAAATAATAATATGAATACCAATACCAATAATAGTGCCAAAATAACATTTTTATACGTATTGATTATAGATTAATTATTGATTATTGATAATGATTGATTAGTCACAATTACTGTATTAACCCTAATCAGGAGGGATTCCTAGCTTTCTGGGGCTTTCTATGAAGAGGGATTCCTAGTTTCCTGGGGTGATTATTAATTAATTATTGATTATTGATAATGATTGATTAGTAACAATTACTGTATTAACCCTAATTAGGGGGGGGGGGGGTTCCTAGCTTCCTGGGGCTTTCTATGAAGAGGGATTCCTACCTTCCTGGGGCTTTTCCCCGCCACACCCGGGTCCACGCGCCAATCCCTCCCTCCAGAGGGCCAGGGCGCCGGGGTGCGGCTCCTGCTTACCTGCGTTGTAGGCGGCGAGGTCTGCTCCGGGCGCGGGGCTCTTCCTCTTGCGGGGGCGGCCCTTCTGGACGGCGCCGGCCCCGTTGTAGTAGTTGGGCAGGCCGAGGGCGGCGGGCCCCAAGGGCGGACCACCCCCCTGCCCGGCCTTGCCCGCGGCGGCCCCCTCTGCTCCTCCTCCTGGCCCGGCGGCGAAGTGGAGGGCGAAGGGCCCCTGGAGCAGGGCCTCGAAGTGGGGGCGGCAGTAGACCAGCCCGTCCTTGAGGCCGAAGTGGTCCCCCGTGGCCAGGACGCGCGCGCACGAGGCGCAGGTGAAGCAGCTCAGGTGGAAGACCAGCTCCCGCGCACGCATCACCATCTCCGAGGCAGAGATGCCCAGGTGGCAACGCCCGCAACGCTGCACCGAGAAGCGCCTGGGGAGGAGGAGGAGGAGGAGGAGGAAAGGGGGAGGACTCACTCGGGGGGCAGGACCCGGGGACCCCCACCCCTCACAACAACAGGCAGGAGGAAATGGGCCCTCTCCTCCAAGGTGCGCATCTAACCATCTATCCATTCATCTCTCCACTAGTCTGTCTATCTATCTATCTGTATGTTCATCTATTAACTCATCTATCCATCCATCTATCCATCCCCCCCCCCTCACGACCCCTCACAACAACAACAACAACAGGCAGGAGGAACTGGGGCCTCCCCTCCAAGGTGCACATCTAACTATCCATCTATCTCTTCATCCATCTATCCATTCGCCTATCTATCCATCCATCCTTACATCCATCCATCTATCCATTGATCTATCTATCTATCTATCTATCTATCTATCTATCTATCTATCTATCTATCTATCTATCCATCTACCTACCTATCCATCTATCTATTCATCTATCCATCTATCCATCCATCCATCTATTCATGTATCCATTAATCTATCTATCTATCTATTTATTCATCTATCCATTCATCTATCTATTCATCTATCCATTCCTTGGGGCTCGCCAGGAAGGGACACCCCCCCCCCCCCCCCCAACAACAACAGGCAGGAGGAACTGGGGCCTCCCCTCCAAGGTGCACATCTAACTATCCATCTATCTCTTCATCCATCTATCCATTCGCCTATCTATCCATCCATCCTTACATCCATCCATCTATCCATTGATCTATCTATCTATCTATCTATCTATCTATCTATCTACCTACCTATCCATCTATCTATTCATCTATCCATCTATCCATCCATCCATCTATTCATGTATCCATTAATCTATCTATCTATCTATTTATTCATCTATCCATTCATCTATCTATTCATCTATCCATTCCTTGGGGCTCGCCAGGAAGGGACACCCCCCCCCCCCCGAACCCTCACAACAACAACAACAGGCAGGAGGAACTGGGGCCTCCCCTCCAAGGTGCACATCTAACTATCCATCTATCTCTTCATCCATCTATCCATTCGCCTATCTATCCATCCATCCTTACATCCATCCATCTATCCATTGATCTATCTATCTATCTATCTATCTATCTATCTATCTATCTATCTATCTATCCATCTATTATCTATCTATCCATCCATCCATCTTTCCATCTCTCTCTCTCTCTATCCATCCACTCCTCTGAAATCCCCTAGTGTCTCTCTCTAACACATACTATCCATCCATCTCTCTATCCTATCTACCTACCTATCTATCTATCTATCTATCTATCTATCAATTATCTATCTATCTATCTATCTCTGTCTGTCTGTCTATCTATCCTCCATCCATCTTTCTCTGTCATTCTATCTATCTATCTATCTATCTATCTATCCATTATCCTATCTATCTATCTATCTATCTATCTATCTATCATCCATCCATCATCAATCTGTCCATCTATCTATCTATATATCCATCCATCCATCTATCAATATGCAAGCAATACAAATGCTATCATCTATCTATCTATCTATCTATCTATCTATCTATCTGTACTATCATCTATCTATCTATCTATCTATCTATCTATCTATCTATCTATCTATCTATCTATCTATCTATCTAATTATCTATCTATCTATCTATCTATCTATCTATATCTATCTATCTATCTATCTATCTATCTATCTATCTATCTATTCATCTATCTATCTATCCATCCATCCCTCTATCTATTCATCCATCTTTCCATCCATCTATCTATCTATTCATCTATCCATCTATCCATGCATCTATCTATCTGCCTGTCTATCCATCTCTCTCTCTCTCTATCCATTAATCGATCTATTTGTCTAGCTATTTCTTTCTTTCTTTACTACTTTTATAGCCCGTCTTTCTCATACGGCAACTCAAGGTGGGTATCTATCTATCTATCTATCTATCTATCTATCTATTCATCTATCTATCTATTCATCTATCCATCCATCCATCTATCTATCTATCCATTCATCTATCCATCTATCTAGATCCATCATAGTTCCACACACACACACATATACATATATATACACACACATGATCAGGCCTGCACTGGCCATATGGCGCATTAATGGTCAGTGGGAATTCAGACCTATATTTGTATACATTTGCCCCATTTATATATATATATATATATAGAGAGAGAGAGAGAGAGAGAGAGGGAGGGAGGGAGATAAAGATGCCCCCTGCATGACCTATCTGACCTATCTAAATCTATATTTATCCTATCTATCTATCTATCTATCTATCTATCTATCTATCTATCTATCTATCTATGTTTGTCCCATATATGTGTAGGTGTGTACACGCACATACACACACACGTTTATAGATATCCCCTGCCTGACCCTTCTATAGGTATGTGTGCCCCATATATTTAGAGAGATGGGGATAGAGAATAGAAAGATAGACATGACCTCTGCCTGACCTACCTGCATACATATCTATATGACAAACATACATATTTTAACTTGTATGTACTGTATATAAAGCATTAACTCTGCTCTATCCATTCATCTATTTATCTATCTATCTATCAATTTATCTATTCATCAATCTATTAATCTATCTATTAATTTATCTATCTGTTCATCCATCTATCGATTCATCTATTTATCTATTCATCAATCTATTAATCTAGCTATCTATCGATCTATCTATCTATTAATCTATCTATCTGTCCATTCATCTATCAATTCATCTATTTATCTATTCATCCATCTATTAATCTATCTATTAATCTATCTATCTGTCCATTCATCTATCAATTCATCTATCTATTTATCTATTCATCCATCTATTAATCTATCTATTCATCTATTCATCTATCTATCTATCCATTCATCTATCCATTTATCTGTCTATTTATCCATTAATTTATCTATTCATCTATCTATCTATCTATCTATTCATCTATCTATCTGTCCATCATCTATCAATGCATCTATCGACTTATCCATTCACTTATCTATTCATCAATCTATTCATCTATCTATCTGTTCATCTATCTGTCTGTCCATTCATCTATCAATGCATCTATCGATTTATCCATTAATTTATCTATTTATCAATTAATCTATCTATCTATTCATATATCTATCTGTCCATTCATCTATCAATGCACCTATCAATTTATCCATTTATTTATCTATTTATCAATCTATCTATCTATCTATCTATCTATCTATCTATCTATCTATTCATCTATCTGTCTGTCCATTCATCTATCAATGCATCTATCTATTTATCCATTCATTTATCTATTTATCAATCTATTAATCTATCTATCTATCTATCTATTCATCTATCTGTCCATTCACCCGTCAATGCATCTATTGATTTATCCATTAATCTATCTATCTATCTATCTATCTATCTATCTATCTATCTATCTATCTATCTATCTATCTATCTGTCTGTCTGTCTGTCCATTCATCTATAAATGCATCTATCGAGTTATCCATTCATTTATCTATTTATCAATCTATTAATCTATCTATTCATCTATCTATCTGTCCATTCATCTATCAATGCATCTATCTATTTATCCATTCATTTATCTATTTATCAATCTATTAATCTATCTATCTATTCATCTATCTATCTATCTATTCATCTATCAATGCATCTATCTATTTATCCATTCATTTATCTATTCATCAGTCTATTAATCTATCTATCTGTCCATTCATCTATCTATCTATCCATTCATTTATCTACCTATCTGTGTATCTATCCATCTCCCAGCTGTTAGGAATTGTGGGAGTTGAAGTCCAAAACACCTGGCCCATGCCTGGTCTATATATCTATGTATGATACACTCATATGTCTTTGGAGGGGAAGGCAGGCCTGTCTACTCACCGGTAGTAGTCCTCCTTGCAGTAGATGCTGCCGTCCTTGCTGAAGCAGGTGAGTTCAGACTCCAGGTTGAGCTTGCACTCGCAGCACTGGAGGCAGCGCATGTGCCACTGCTTGTCCACCGCCAGGAGGTAGTAGCGGTCCGAGATCTTGCCCCCACAGCCTGCGCATAAGGCCGCACGCTCACCCCCAACGCCCCCCACGCCCCCAGCCCCCAGGCTCAGGGAAGGCATGGCCTGAGATGGGGAAGAAGCAGAGAAAAGGAACAACATTACTTACCAATCTTATCAATTATTAGTTATTATTATTATTGCCGCTACCCTAATACAAATAGTGAATAATAATATGAACACCGATACGCCAAAAATACCAATATCAATGCTAAAATAACATTAATTTTATTCATATCGATTATTAGTTAATTATCGATTATTGATTATTGTATTAATCTTAATACAAATCATAGCAAATAACAATATGAACACCAACACCAATAACAACTCAAAGAACAATATCTAATACAAATAATGAATAATAATATGAACACCAATACCACAAAAATACCAATAACAATGCTAAAATAACATTAATTATATTCATATTGATTATTAGTTAATTATTGATTATTGATTATTGTATTCACCCTAATACAAATAATAACGAATTACAATACGAACACCAATATCAATAACAACACTGAAAGAACATTAATTTTATTCATATTGATAATTTATTAATTATTAATTTTATTATATTAACCTTAATACAGACAATACATACAGAAAATAACAAATAACAATATGAACACCAATACCCCAAAAATACCAATAACAATGCTAAAATAACATTAATTTTATTCGTATTGATTATTAGTTAATTATTGATTATTGATTATTATATTCACCCTAATACAAATATCAACAAATAACAATACGAACACCAGTATCAATAACAACACTCAAAGAACATTAATTTTATTCGTATTGATAATGTATTAATTATTAATTTTTATTATCTCAACCTTAATACAGAAAATAACAAATAAGAATATGAACACCGATACCCCAAAAATACCAATAACAATGCTAAAATAACATTAATTTTATTCGTATCGATTATTAGTTAATTATTGATTGATTATTGTATTCACCCTAATACAAATAATAACAAATAACAATACGAACACCAATATCAATAACAACACTAAAAGAACATTAATTTTATTCGTATTGATAATTTATTAATTATTATTATATTAACCTTAATACAGAAAATAACAAATAAGAATATGAACACCAATACCAATAATAACGCTAAAATAACATGCATTTTATCCATTATTAATTAATTATTGATTATCAATAATTTTTATAATCAATAATTATTGATTATTGATAATTATTGTATTAAACCTAATACGAATCATATGAACACTAATAGCAATAACAACGCTAAAATAACATGAATTTTAATTTTTGTCGATTATTGATTAATTATTGATTATTAATAATTATTATGAATAGCAATAATATGATGATAATAATAAGACTTTATTTATAATCCAAGGGAACTCAGGTCGGATTCCAACCAACCAAAAAGACAAACATTTGCTGCCTCAAGACAATAACAAATACAAACATAGGAATGCAGAATAACTAAACGTAACAAAAACACATGATAACATAGGTTTAATAGAACATAACCTATCAAATAAATTATATCTAACATCAGGCATCAGCATCAATTTACACCAATTATGCAAATTACACCAACGGAACACCAATACTAAGATTAAAATAACATTCATTTTATTTGTATCCATTATTAAGTAAATTATCAAGATAATAATATGAACACCAATACCAATCATAACACTATGTCACACCATTTTGGTCCCTGGGATATCAATGCCATTTGCTAATTGGTTCTATATTTAAAAAAAAAAAAATGGGGAAAAATGGACATCATTCCACACACACACACACACACATATCCCCTTCCCTAGTTTCCAACATAGGTCACATCCTCTGAGGATGCCTGCCATAGATGTAGGCAAAACGTCAGGAGAGAATGCTTCCGGAACACGCCCAGACAGTCTGGAAAACTCACAGCTACCCAGTGATTCCGGCCATGAATGCCCTCAACAACACATTGCACAAAGTTTGTGTTTACCAGACAAAGCAGCACATTTTGCTCTAGTTTTCCCACATGTACGTCTATCAAGCACAAACTTTGCTCTCTCCTGGATGTTGCTATCTATAGTTGGCCCCATGAGTTGTTTGTAAGTTGGATGTTTGTAACTATAGGGTTAGGAATAGGGATAGAGATAGATGTATGGCATACATATTTTCACTTGTGTGTCTGTCAAACACAAACTTTGCTCCCTCCTGGACGTTTCTATGTATAGTTGGCCCCACAAGTTGTTTGTAAGTAAGTGGGATATTTGTAACTCAGAGTCTGCCTCTATGTTGAGATAGATGGAGATGGAGGTAAATCTATGGCATACATATTTTCACTTGTATGTCTATCAAACACAACTTTGCTCCCTCCTGGATGTTTCTATCTGTAGTTGGCTCCACGAGTTGTTTGTAAGTAAGTGGAATGTAAGTTGCTTGTAAGTGGGATGTTTGTAACTTAGGGACTGCCTCTATATAGAGATGGAGATAGAGATAGATGTATGGCATACATTTTTTTCACTTGTGTGTCTATCAAACACAAACTTTACTCCTTTCTGGACGCTTCTATCTATAGTTGGCCCCACGAGTTGCTTGTAAGTGGGATGTTTGTAACTCAGGGTTTGCCTCTATGTTGAGATAGATGGAGATGGAGGTAAATGAATGGCATACATATTTTCACTTGTGTGTCTATCAAACAAAAACTTTGCTCCCTCCTGGGCATTTCTATGTATAGTTGGCTACATGAGTTGTAAGTTGTTTGTAAGTGGGATGTTTGTAACTCGGGGTCTGCCTCTATATAGAGATAGATGGAGATAGGTGTATATATTTTCACTTGTGTGTCTATCAAACACAAACTTTGCTCCCTCCTGGACGTTTCTATCTATAGTTGGCCCCACGAGTTGTTTGTAAGTAAGTAGAATGTAAGTTGTTTGTAAGTGGGATGTTTGTAACTCAGGGCTTTCCTCTATGTTGAGATAGATGGAGATGGACATATAGATATAGCGATAGAGATAAATGTATGGCATATATATTTCCACGTGTGTGTCTATCAAACACAAACTTTACTCCTTCCTGGATGTTACTATCTATAGTTGGCTCCACAAGTTGTTTGTAAGTAAGTGGGATATTTGTAACTCAGAGACCGCCTCTATATAAAGATACAGATAGATGAAGATGGGAGATATAGATATAGCAATAGAGATAAATGTATGGCATATATATATTCACTTGTATGTCTATCAAACACAAACTTTGATCCCTCCTGGACATTTCTATCTATAGTTGCCCCCACGAGTTGTTTGTAAGTAAGTGGAATGTAAGTTGTTTGTAAGTGGGATGTTTTGTAACTCAGGGACTGCCTCTATATAGAGATGGAGATATATGGAGATGGAGATAAAGATAGATATAGAGATAAATGTATGGCATATATGTTCTCACTTGTGTGTCTATCAAACACAAACTTTGCTCCCTCCTGGATGTTTCTATCTGTAGTTGGCCCCACGAGCTGCTTGTAAGTAAGTGGAATGTAAGTTGTTTGTAAGTGGGATGTTTGTAACTCGGGGACTGCCTCTATGTAGAGATGGAGATATATGGAGATAGAGATATATGTATGGCACACATTTTTTCACTTGTGTGTCTATGAAACACAAACTTTACTCCTTCCTGGACGTTTCTATGTATAGTTGGCCCCATTAGTTGCTTGTAAGTGAGATGTTTGTAACTCAGGGTCTGTCTCTATGTCGAGATAGATGGAAATGGAGGTAAATGTATGGCATACATATTTTCACTTGTATGTCTGTCAAGCACAACCTTTGCTCCCTCCTGGATGTTACTATCTATAGTTGGTTTGTAAGTTGGATGTTTGTAACTCAGGGAGTGCCTCTTTATAGAAATAGAGAGATAGATGTATGTATGGCATACATATTTTCACTTGTATGTCTCTCAAGCATGTATTTGCTCTAGTTTTGCAATGACTCTCCCATCCTGGAATCTCAACCAACTCGGCCTAGTTCGCAGCTGCCACCAAAACAATGGAAGTTTCCGAACTCATTCCCACAGCTACACAGCTACACAAAATCCAGATTATCTGCTTTGAACTGGATTATCTGGCAGTGCAGACTCATATGACTCGGTTCGAAGCCGATCACGTGAATGATTATCTGCTTTGAGTAAGAGCCGAGCAATTAAACAGGAAACAACACTTTCCAATGAGGAACAGAACATGTTCTCAGTGTTTGGTGGAATCATAATTATAGTCTTCCTAATCGGTAATATTGCTAGCCATCATCCAAATACTAATGCAACGACTACTACTAATATTATTATTAATATCATATTAATAATAATAATAATAATAATAACCATGACCACATTGTTGTTGTTGTTATCCGACATGGTGAAAAATACACCATTTATATAAATAAAAATTTATATAAATAAAATATAAATAAAAATGTCACCTCTCAGGCCAATGAGTGACCATCACTCAAAAAACACTAGAAAACACAGCAGAAGCGACTTAAAAAGCAAAAAAACCCCAAAACCCAAAAATCCATTACACTGCATGTGCAAAACTACACGCATATATACACAAACACGCATATATACACACATTTATGCACACACAATACATACACAGAAAGGGGGATGGAAAGAAAGAAGGGTAGAGAAGGAAGGAGGGAGAGAAAGAGGGGGGAAAGGAGGGAAGAAGAGAAGGAAGGAAAGAAAGGGTAGAGAAGGAAGGAGAGAAGGAGGGAGAGAAAGAGGGAAAGAAGGGTAGAGAAGGAGAGAAGGAGAGAAGGAGGGAGAGGGAAAGGAGAGAAGGAAGGAAATAAAGAAGAGTAGAGAAGGAAAGAAGGAGAGAAGAAAGAGGGAAAGAAGGAGGGAAGAAGAGAAGGAAGGAAAGAAAGGGTAGAGAAGGAAGGAGAGAAGGAGGGAGAGAAAGAGGGAAAGAAGGGTAGAGAAGGAGAGAAGGAGAGAAGGAGGGAGAGGGAAAGGAGAGAAGGAAGGAAATAAAGAAGAGTAGAGAAGGAAAGAAGGAGAGAAGAAAGAGGAAGAAG